GCTGGGGGATATTTGACAATATCTGCAGACATTTTTGGCTGTTACAACTAGGGAGAGGCGAGACTGCTGCTGGCATCCAGTGGGCAGAGATCAGGGATGCTATCAGATGCCCTTGAATGCACAGGACAGCCCCTACGGCAAAGAGTGACCCCACTCCACGTGCCCGCAGAGCCGAGGGTGAGAAGCCTGGGTCTAGAACGCGCCCTGTTTTACTTTCTTCATAGCATCTCTCACCATCTCCAAGGAGTCCACACACTGTCTCCTTCCAGAACGAACGCGCTGTCATCCTCCCCTCCATGCCGACTGCTGATGTTTTATAATAACTATAAATGGAGTGTAACCTTTAAAATTATGAATCACTGTGTTGTTGTACACCTGAGGCTTTTACATAATATTGTACATCAACTATTCTTCAATTTAGAAATTTCTACATTGGACTTCTTTTTTTAAAGAAATCGTTTATTTTTTATTTTTAAATTTTATTTATTTATTTAATGGAGGTACTGGGGATTGAACCCAGGACCTCATGCATGCGTGCTAAGCATGCGTTCCACCACTGAGCTATTCCCACCTCCCCCTCATTAGATGTTTTGAATATGCGTGGTTTGTGGGGCATCAATCATGCTTCCGTCTAGCCTTTTTTTAAGACTCCCTCTTGGTCAGTCCTGCATTAGAGTGTTAGTACTCTTGCCAACAACCCTTCACTTGCATGCCCATTGCAGTGGTTCTGTTCTGGCGGGGGGTAGCCTTGAAGCCATCCAGCCAGCCCTGGTGAGGGCGGAATCCCCCTCATTTGCTGCGGTTTTACCAACCCTTGGAGGGTTTGGAGTTGCAAGGTCTTTCAACCCTGGACCCACTTGCCTGTAAGTGGAGAAAATAGCCAGCAGGGGGAGCACTGTGATTCCCTTTTTCTGGAAGACGCTTTGTGCAGTACATTTATCTAGTAAGAGAGAGATTAGCAAGCTTTCCCTTGAGACCCTTCTTAAATCTTAAAAAAAAAAAATCAAAACAGCTAAAAAACACCACCATCAAAAACTTTGGTAAAGGTCCATCTGCCATGGACCAGCAATCCTATGCCTAGAATCTCATCCAGATTCTAGTCTAGGAGAGCTGACCACAGTAGTCATTTGCTTGTAGTAGAAAACCGCAGACAGGGGAACCACCCTTCATTAAGTCTATCAGATCAGCCCCTCTCAGACTTTAACGTGCGTGGCACCACCCAGGGATTTTGTTAAAATGCGGGGTCAGATTCCCTAGGTCTGGGGCGTGGCCAGGTGGTTCTGGTATTGTGGTTGGAGGTCCTGGCTCACCAGCTGGACTGGAGACCCCAAAAGGCAGTGGCTTCAACAACAGAACTGTGTTGCTGTGGCTGATCTGTCAACGAGCCATCTGGCTGGAAGGAGTCAGGGCCCCTTCCATCCTTGCAGCCTTGCCCTGCTCTGCGTGGGCGGAGCGCTCACCCTCCCAGTCACAGCCTAGCCAGCGAGCAGAGACACAGTGTCATGGAGAGGGCGTGCCCCTTCTCTTTACGGGCGGGACTCCCATTCTGATGCCTCAGTTATGGCCACCTCCCATTAGTCAGAACTTAAGTCATGCAGAGCTGGAAGGTGGCGACTGGCAGTCTTCATTCGCAATGTCATGTCCGCAGCGACAATGTGAGCACTGCGTTATTAGTGAAAAAGGGGGAACTGGATATTGGGCAACAATAGTGGCATTTGCCCTGAGAAGGGACCAGTTAAATAAAGTATCATTCATCCAGAAGCTGGAATATCCAGGCAGTAAGACAATGAGACAGATGTGTATAAACCACAATGGAAAGGTGTCACTGACAGAGTTAAGTGGCAAAAATACAGTTGCAGGAGATATTAGTATCATCTCATTTTTATTTGGGGGGGATAAAATCAGTAGTTCACACAAGTATTCTATGCCTACATTGCTTAGTTTTAGAGAGTCAGGAATGGTTCACGGGAGGGTATGTATCCTCGGGGCATTAAGTGATGGAAAGGAGTTCTGGAAAGACAATAAAGGAGTGTCTCCATTCTTGGGCACATCCACCCTCTCACGGAAGGGATTTGGGGCTTTCGATTTCTGGGAGGGGAAGGAGGCAGCCACACATTCGTGGAAGAACCCATCCCAAACCATGCCCCAGGCAAGCACTTGTCGCTTGATCCTCATAACGAGCCAATGAGCAAAGGCAGTGGATGTCCGTTGGTTTTGTCTGTCCAGCTTACCCTCCCCCTTCTTCTAGAAATACCAATCTGACTTTCTTGGGGAACAACTCACAGCCTGCAGGGACTAAGAGCTTGCACTCTGTGGCCCAGACAACTGGTTCAGGAATAGGCACGTGACCCAGCGTGGACAAAGGACGGTTAGGACTGTTGTCTAATCTGCTGGGGACTCTTGGTTTCCTACTGGGCTTGAACCTGCGTGGCTGTACCCGGAGCCTCTCAAGACCATGGTGAAGAAAAGGGCTGCTTGAGCGCAAAGACCAGACAAGAGAGCGCAGCCAGTTAAATCAGGTCACATTGACATGATCCGAGACCCTGGATCCCACCAGACCTGAAGCTTGGCACGTTCCAATTGTGTAAGCCAATTATTTTTGTGTAAGTTAGCTTGAACTAGATTAAATTTAAATTAAATTAGTTTGAGGTTGGGTTTCTGTAGTTCACACCCAAAAGAGTGTTGAGTGATGCCCCTTCCTATTGCTTGAAGGAAAAAAAAATTTTTTTTAACCATTGTTTGGAAAAGCTAGACCTAGGAAAGCCTTTCTCTTGGAAAATTTGTTAAGCTTATGACAAAAGAAAAGGGGAAATTTCACACCCAAAGTCCCAGGAACAGAGGAAGGGAGGTAAACTTGTGGAAGAATAATTCCAGTAGTGTGTCGTGTGGAGTTTCTCCTACAGACAGTGGGGAAGCCCTGTGAGGCAGGGTTCCAGCATGGGCGAGATAGCTCAGTGCAAAGAATTTAGCCAAAGATTATTTCATAAAGGGACTGTGCTGTGAGATTTAGGCAGTTAGCGGCACCAGTGAGGGCTGGTGAAGCACTGTAGTGGAGTCATTGTGGGGAGCAGGTATCTCGAGGCTGGAAAGGAGGAAACCATGTTACAGAGCTCTGCAGAGCCGTGGCCATGGAGCAGCGGAGCCACTGTCGGGACCACAGGGAGGCAGCAAGGGGGCGGGGGAGGTGTGGGGCGGAGGAAGGGACAAACACCCAACCACTCTCTCTACCCTCCAGTCGCCTGCTGGTGCCTCCCACTGGCCAAGTCTAGGTGGATTCCAGAAAGCAAAGGAGGCCAGGTGATACAGTTCATTGAAATCAGCCTCCTGGGGCACAGAGCAGCAGGAAGGGTGGAAAAGGAATCTGGGGTGGGGGATGTGGTTGAACAGTGGAGATTAACCGTCTCCTTCTGGAAGGTTGCAGAGGAAGAACTGAAAGCAGGTAGGACTTGAAGCTAGCTGGGAGACATATGGAAATTGAGGCAAGAAATTGTAAAAACCTGAACCAGGACTGTAGTATAAAACTTGGGCAGGGTGGCAATGAGTGCAAGAGGGAGAATCAATGAGACTGACTCTGGGGTCTGAAGAGCGGAGGGGAGGAGTCTAGGATGACCCCCACATTTCTGACTTTGAGAACTGCTGGTAGCCAAGGGAAGGGATCCTAGAGGCTAAGAGTAGGTTTCATAGTGGAGGGAATAGCAGAGAGTTTTCTTTGGGTCTTGCTGAGGCAAGGATCCCTGGAACAGCCCAGAGGAGCTGCCTCGCTGACAGCTGGGTGTAAATAATGTGGATACGATATTTGTTCCTTAGCTCCTAGCCCAGAGCCTGGCACAATGTAGGTACTCAGAAAATATTTGTTGGAGGGAGGGAGGGATGGATGGATGCATGTGTGGGTGATGGATGGATGGATGGGTAAGTAGATGGATGAATGGGTTTCTGGGTGGATGAATGGTAGGTGGGTGGGTGGGTGACTGAAAGGGTGGGTGGATGAACTGATGGAGGGATGGTTGTACATCTAAGGAAAAGGTCTTACGTAGAGACATCAGTTTGGGATTATCCATCAGAGGTGATGGCTGACACCATGGAAACGGGAATGGATGTAGAATAAAGTTTCAAGTAACATCATCATCTGAGAAGCAGAAAGGAGCCTGGGTGCCTGAGAAGGAAGATTAAGAATTCAAAGAGGCAGGAGAAAGGAGGTGGGGGTGGCCAGGGAAAGTTCACTTTCAGAAGCTGGAGAGGGCACATTTCAGGGAAGGAGAAGCCACATCCTCAAAGGCTGCCTCTCAAGAGATAAAAATCTGGGAGGAGAAGCCAAGCATGGATGTGGGACAGAGGAGGCCATCAGCGGGGTAGGGGCAAGCGCGTTGTCCCCGGGGGGTCAGGGGTACCGGATGGCGGAAGTTGGCTGGGTTCCCTGAGTCACACTGAGTTGGAGATCTGAGTGGAGGCGGTTTGCTGGAAAGTGCCCACGGAGGACACTTGTGAGAGAGTGAGGGAGGCAGGACTGGGAAGCGGAAGAAGCTGCAACAGAGACCTGAGCCCACCTCCAGGGAACGTGCGGCTGGGATGACCCTCAGAGAAGCCTGGACCGAGGGAGGAGCGTTGACTTCCCCGCCCCCCACCCAGCCCGACACACATTGACCCTCACTGGGTGCAGGAAAGGCTGCTGCTCTCGGTCCAGGACAAAGCCTGGGGAGCAGCTCAGCTGGGAGCCATCAGTGACACGCAGAGCAACTGCACCAGGTGGAAACGGTTGAGACCATCTCTACCACAAATACTGAAAACAGTCACTGAAGTAAGAGCACACATCCGCTTAGCACTTGCAGAATGAAACTCGACAGTTGGCATGAATTAGCTCATCGAAGCCTCACCACCAGCTACCCCGTGTGGGAGGCACTCTTCTCTCCTCCATCTACGAGATGCTGAAGCGGCCTCGGGGAGGGGCGGTGGCTTGCTCGGGTCACGCACCGTGGCGCCTAAAAGCAGAGTCACATCTCTTGTGGCACCGCCGGAGATTAACAACGTGCTCTGTGTGTGTTTCCTGTGACGAGAGACAGGACGCCATGTGTCCTTCCCGAGCAGGACAGCAGGGTCCTCATTGCATAGCTTACCCGGTGCTCATCCCAGGTAAGACGCCCTTCCAAGCGCTGCACTCGGATGTTTGAGGGTTGAAAGCGGAGCCCTGGTCACCAGAGCCCCAGCGGTGACATGGCTGGGGAACGGAAGTCCTTTCTGTTTCACTCCTCAGTCCACACGGAGGCTCCGCTTGGGCGGCTTCTCTGCTCCATCAGGAGCCCAGGCGGCTGCAGCCGTCCTGCCCCCTGCACGTGCCTCCACGGCTGTTTCGGAGGTCACCACCCTGACCTGAGGGAAGGCAGGAAAGAGTGGCAGCTTGGGACCCGAGCTCCTTCTCTTTAAAAAAAATTTTTAAGAACTTTTTTTGGGGGAAAGTAATTAGATTTTTAAATTAATTGATTGATTGATTTTAATGGAGGTGCTGGAGATTGAACCCAGGACCTTGTGCTTGCTAAGCATGTGCTCTACCACTGAGCTATACACCTCCCTCTTAAGCAAGGGAGGGATGACCCTCAGAGAAGCCTGGACCGAGGGAGGAGTGTTGACTTCCTCGCCCCCCACCTACCCCGACACACACTGACCCTCACTGGATGCAGGGAAGGCAGGAGTCACCTAGATCCTGTCCCCTCCTGTTCCACTGGCCACACTCGGCCACACGTGTCACGTGGGGAGGGAGAAGGGAAGATTGTGCTGGCCAATTCCCACCTCAGATAACCCTTTTATTTCATCCTTAAGACAACCCTAACTATTTGACAAGTGGGGAGACTGAGGCACAGGGTGGTGAAGCAGAGAGGTGGCCGTAAGCCACAAAGTTGATAGAGCCAGGATTTAACCAGACACGGAAGGCAGAGCCCAGGGACCCGAGGACCGCCACACAGCTGGCCCCACGCTGGCACTCGCAGGCTGCCAAGGACAAAGGGCCGTCACGAAGACCACCTCTTGGAACCCAGACACGTGCTCGTGGCAGTTCTGGTCAAGTTGACTTTCACGGGACCCTGTTCCACTCCAGTAATCCCCAAGTGTGTGGAAGTCACACTCCATACTTCAACCTCCGTGTCGCAGATGACCTGCTGTTAAAGTGTTTAGTGATTAAAGAGAGTCCTGGTTGATTCATTAACGATCCGCTCTACACTGACCGGCAAGGTCTACCGGGTTACAAACAACTGTCTCTCACAGACCCTACTGCCACGAGCAGGCTTCCCAGCTAGGGCCTGCTTTAATGCACCTTTTAGCGAATTGTCTGGCTTGGGGTTTAGACAGCACATTTCCAAGAGTTTTCCCAGATGCCCGGGCTCCTGTCAAATTTGTCACAGTGCAGTGAGTCTCAGGCTTTTGGGTCTC